TAGTTTAAACACCCAAAAGTCCTCTTTAAATGGTTTTAACAATGACAAACTACACTTTCGTTTGAAGTAATTTTGCCTAGTTTAGAGTGAATAAAATTTTAGTAAATTATGTTTTAGTTATCACTTCCTATTCATCAAAAACTATAACTTACTTTAAAAAATATAAAAACTAAATTGTCTAATATTCTGCTGAAAATTGGACCATTGTTTATATGAACTTTTTTTATAGCTCTTGAGGTGTACTATTACTTCTTTATATATTTCTTTTTACTTACAGGACATCCTGCCTATCAACATATCCTAGGATTTTCTTATTCTGTCACCCCTAAATTTTCACTTGATATTCACACTTTTCCCGCGGCAAACTTGCCGAACTATGAAAAACTTATTTTTATTTGAAGTTTTACACACTAAGAATCAAAAATATTTTTTACATCATTCATTTTTTGCTCAAATAGTTTTAGAAATGTATCTATGTTATGAAGGATGTTTCTCCTCCCCTCCCCCCCCCCCTGTGATTGATCTAAACAAATATGTTATATATTAATTATATTGTTTTTTAGATATTTTTAATTATATATATATATATACATATATATAAGTATAATAAAAAAAGAAGTACTAAAATCCTTACAATTATACAAACCTATAAACAAATACATTTTAAATATTAATTATTATATTTGTTCATTTCACAATAAATATGTTGAATTTTTACACTTACACAAAACTGCTGCCTTTTTTTTTTTTTTTTCTACCATCGCTCTCCTCTGCAATCAAAATTGAAAGTCTGTGCCTATGCGTCATCTTGCAACTTTTATTGAGAATTTACTATACATACAGCTTCATGTTGTAAATTATATTTTTTAATTTTATATATCTATAAATTAATTATTAAATATTCATGTTAATACTTTAATTGTGGTTTGATGTTACAGGATTGAAATTTAATTTTACAAAAAAAAAATTTTGAGGTCCTCTGAGCTGAATAACCAGATCAAAATACGTTTATTTAAACAGTCTAGGTTCAAAAACGAAACTTAAATTATGTCTTTAAGATAAGCCTGCCTGCCTGAGATATTACAGCAGTTTTTTTCTGAAAATCGGCTAATCGGAAGTGCCACTTTATACCATAATTTTTACAATTTTCTTTAAATAGCCTTTAATATCAGTTAGATCTTATTCTCATTGATGTCAGTGCTTAAATGCTTAATTTTCAAAATTTCTTTTACAGAACCTTAAATTTGGTTTGTTGTAAATAATTAACTGTCTTTCATTGTCATTAGCAATAAAAAAAATGGCTGAATATAAACTATGAAAGAATTTTATAATCGACCAAAGGAGGAAAAAAAGAAAAATGTTTTATCTGATTGAAAATGAATTTCCGAAAATAATATATAAATGTGCAATATAACGTTAGAACTAAATTATAAATAGTAATTTCTGAAAACTAATATTATTATAGCATCCGCTGGATTAGAGTATTGTTATTATGAAAAAAAAATTACCGAATTGGAGTAATATATCTATAATTCACACATTTTATTTTTAGCCAAAAGTAGGATTAAAGGAATATTTTTGGCCAGAGGTTATAGGACTGAGAATCCCAGATAAAATCTAATTTATTTACAAGATGACAGTCATAATAATGGTGAATTGGGATAACGTCTTCTATTTACTCTGGAATATTGCTATTTTTTTAGATTAAATTAATAAAGTGTTAATGGTAAAATATAGGAATCTTACTTGGTTCATCACACCCTGAGAGAGCACAGCGAAGAGAGAGAGCACAGATAAATCAGTCAAGGCAAAGAACACTGTTGATTGTATGTTACTCATTTCATCCTGTGGCATATTTTTAAAATCCATTTGTTAAAATGAAAAACGTAATTTAAATATTTTCAATGATAAATTCTTAGACTAACTCCAAGATTTGTTCGATGACAAGGATTGTTCAAACATATTTAGATATAGTCCACTTGGTCCTCAGAATTAAGTGTGTAATATAAAATTAATTTTCAATTATATAAAAGTTAGGGTTACTCTATGTTGATTGTCGGACACAAATAAGACAGGAAATGTTATCACCGCAATAAACAACTCCATGGTATAAATATCCCCGAAGTAAAAAATGGACAGCCGTGAAAAAAATAATTAAATAAACTTATTTAATACGACTACATACGATTTTTGTTACGCGCCTATCGTATTTCTATTTTTTATTATTTTTTTTCAATTGATTTAGCTCCCTCCACTAGCGGATTCAGGATTTAATTTTGGGGAGAGGGCTCCAGCCCGAAAGATTTTTTTTTAATATACGTATAACAATAATTAATTAGAAAACAAAGAAAGAAATTAAGTACCTATATGAAATGGTGTTTAAGTGGTTCTTGAAGTCCTATTAAATGTAATTACACTAACAAGAATACTTTAAGAGATAGTTTTCAATATTTTTTTCTGTAAAACATGGTTATATTTCACCATTTTGGGGGGAGGGGGGGGACTTCAGCCCGAAAGCCTCCCTCCCACCCCCGTAGATCCGCCTGTGGCTCCCTCCAATACGTATTCCCATCAACCTCGCTCTTATGCAGCCCTCCTTTAGTTAACAAAACCAAGTAGGTTTTGATAACTGCTCTAATCTTAGTCTTTCAACGCCACGTTTTCCATAGAGAGTCTGTTCTTTGTGGTTATCTACCCGTAATCAGTAATTTTAATCAACCGAATCTACAATAAATGTTGGTCCATTTTATACGAAAATGAGAGTTCCAATCAATCAATCGAATAGACATTACCAGTTTTTATTTATTGAATAGCCCGATTCTAATTAAACTTATTACAAGGAACTTACCTTTAAGTATGCATTCTGAAATACGTTGCAGAGTTGATCATATCCGATAGTAATGACAATCAGAAAATATCTCAAGCCGAATCCCTCCGACAATTTCCTTACTGCCCTGCAAAGCGTTGCATGGACCAGTCTCGTGTTGTCGGAACTTTTCCTCATGGTTCTCACTGCAATGTTTAAAAAGTATCTATTATTCCGATTTACTGTTTTTAAAGTTGGCTTAGCATCACGCATGAAATAAAGTTTTATCTTTCACGTGTCCTCTTAGCGCTCTTCGGGTACTGGTAATGTTGAGGGAACTAGTCCCGTAAATGAAACTTGCGATCCTTTTTGCTAACACCTGACGGCTACATAAAGCAGCGCTGCCCAGAAGGGAGTTTGATGGTGCAAGTTGCGCCATCAAAATTTTGAGGGGAACATATTTTGGTGGATTTTTGAAAGGCGACAAATTTCGGTGGGGTTATGAATTTTCGGTATGAAAAGTTTCATAGCAAGAGACAAGGAGAAAATATGGAACATACTGCAGCAAGTGTAATTTATATAAGGCGGGGTGGCCAAGCGGGCTAAAGCGTGTGTGCACAGTACCGCGCATTGCCCGGCAATCTGATAACCGAAGTTAATAAACGATAAAATAATTCCGAGTTAGCGTCCCGGTGCCAAGGGGGTCTTTTAACTTGGCATCAATCCCCCGCTCTCCCCTCCAGGTCGGGGAAAACCCCCGTATAACCTAAAAGGCGAGGAAGGGGGGAAGAGTGTAATTGTATATGATCTAGGATTTTTCTAATTTTACCTTCGTTTGTTCTGTTTTTAAGAAAAGTGAGCAATAAAATATCTTGGGAGTGGGGGGAAAGGATCTTGCGCCATCGACATTGGGGGATGGCCACCTCTGACTTATAGGTTACCGTCAGTACGGACCAGAGTAGAACTGTCAAGTCCGTAATGGCCGAGAGTGGTAAGGCGTCATAACCATAACAGTCTCTAGCAGCAATGACATTAATCCAGTCTGGGCGGGTTGAAACTGATATAGGGACGGACATACGGAATGAATCGCGACCATTCCACTTTGGTTAGAATAGGTTGTTTAAACCTGCAGGAGAACCCTCCCCTCCCCTTCCATATACCATAAATGGCCAGGTTGAGGAGTAAAAAAAAAAAAGGACTCATTTTTTCAATATTTGTTCTGCTAAATCTACTAAGAAGCAGGCTGCTGAGTGTAATTAACTAAATACGATTATTTGAGACACTTGACAGTTTTCGGTACAATAACACAATGCAATATGGAAAACAAGAACTGATATATTTACCAGCTTGATTAGGATCTTAAAGCGGCACAGTGTTAGGATAGGTTTCAAAAATCTATGAATTAGTACAACGTGGCAGAAGATATAACGCAGAAGGATAGACTTGTTGAGCTGGCCCGGGACAGCTGTAGACGTCTCAGGGGCCTTGATGGCCGACAATGGTAATTAGCCTTAACGCATCAACCTCAAGCCTAGCGGCGCTGGTTCGATTCCTACCTGGGTGGGTTGAAATTTATTAGTTGGACGCATGGAATGAATCTCGACCTTCCCATTCAGTTTAAAATTTGTTAATTTCCTGAGAACTCCCTCGCTTTCCTCCTGTATGCAATATATGACAAAACAAAAAAAGAAGGAAAAACAAAGGATATATGCATCTGTTTAGCGAATATAATAAGAATATATAAGTTCAGTGATATTTATTTTACGTTTAATTGTCTGTCCTCTATGAAATGCCTTCGGGTGCGAAGGTCGGTTTCCGTGTTCTAGATGTATATGTATAAAGCTCCTTTAACAATATTTCTAAAAATATCGTCCTATTAAATTTTCCTCCATATAAGGAACAAACTTGACAAATCTTCAGAAAACTTTCAAGAGCTTAAATAGGGACATTGGAAGAAGTATCACAAGGATATGACGAACTTTAGAAGTGAGTTACACAAGAAAGAGGAACTATAATACTTTATTGAATGTTTTTTTTTTAAATCTAGATTGATTAATGGCTTACATATCAATGTAGAATAGTCTTTATTTCCTACATTTTTTTAACAAAATATAATAATTGCCTCTCAAACAGTATTAAACTGACAAGGATTTAGTACAATTCATCGGATCAATGGAAGACATGATCATTCTCATTAGTGCTTACCAATATCAAACCTGGCACTGATCTGGTCAACGAAGAAAGCGAAGATGATGAGCTGCTGGTAGTCTCGGTGGTACATGAGAGCAATCGGAAGTCTCATCAGAAAGGATGTCACGTCCGATACTCCGGCGAAGTAACAAGAGATAAAGTAAAATTCTAGAAAGCGAAAAAGGAATAAATGAGGCCAATTAGAAAATAATTTGATATCGTCGGTTTATTGAAAAAAAAATCATTAATTTTATAATTTTTTATATATCTATTTTAGGCCAAAGATCACCAAATATACACAGTTTTTTTTTATCTCATATATTCTTTGATCAACGTTTCGGCTTCAGGAGCCAGTTTCAAGATCCTGCAATCCTTATCAGGCACATATTATTTAACAACCATAAGTAATACAATCAATCAAAATTTATTTTTAATTTTGAATAAATTTATATCATCCACCCGCGCCATAAAATTTTTAAATCTATCATTGCGATATGATTCGTCCTTAAGTCATTCTTTTGTTTCAAAGAATGTCGTTTTCCATTTCTAAAAATTGTAATATATAAATAATAAATTAAAATAGAATGTTAATATTATTTTTAAAAGAATATTATTAATTCTCGATTTATATACCTCTATTTGCAGAAAGTATCAAGAAATTGTTGTTCCTCACTAGGGCATTCATACAGGACTAGATTTACTTACAAAAGGAGTGGAATAAATATAAATTTATTCAAAATTAAAAATAAATTTTGATTGATTGTATTACTTATGGTTGTTAAATAATATGTGTCTGATAAGGATTGCAGGATCTTGAAAATGGCTCCTGAAGTCGAAACGTTGATCAAAGAATATATGAGATAAAAAAAACTGTATATTTGGTGACCTTTGGCATAAAATAGATATATAAAAAATTATGAGAAAATGGCACCAAACCTGAAGGATGTGACTAGAACATTAATTTTATTTTTGATGGAGCTGAATTTTTAAGAATGTTTTGTAAATTTCGATCTTATTATGAATAAACTGCACCAAAATGACACAAACTGTTTTATATGTACTTTACAAACTGTTAATAAATGTACTTTCAAATGCTTAGTTTTCTGACTCCACAAAGAGAAAATTCATCAAATTTCGTTGTGATTTAAGGTTATGAAATATTACTTAATGTATTCTTACTATAACTTCAAAGACACTGAAGACTTTACATTAAGTAAATAGTGCTGTTCTATAAAATGTAACCATCCAGATATACTATTCTCATGAATTTTGTATATTATTTTAATTTGTCTTTATTTATGTCTTATTTCTATTATTTTGATTTTTAAAAATAATTTTATATATTTACTTTTAAGCTAACATTATAGTGGTAAAGGCATTGATTCTAATGACAGGCTTAATTCGGTTCCTTGTTTAAATGATCATATAATAAATCATGGCAAGGAAAATAATAAAAGATGGCAGCCCGCTCCAGTACTAGATTAAAGAAGACTGGCGATCTAAGGTCTCCCTGCTTCAATCTCTGTTTTACCTCAAAGCTGTTTGAGAGGACATTTTGAATCTTGACTTTACATTTGGTATTTCTTAGCGTCATCTCTGTCAAGACAGAGCTTCTCATAACTTTCTATCTATAGAATCATACGCCAGCTTAAAATCTATAAAGACATGATGCAGATCCACTTTATGTTCGTATGTTTTCTCTAACATTTGTTTTATAACAAAGATGTGATCCACTGTTAACCTATTTTTCCTGAAACCATACTGATAGTCTCCGCAAATTCATTCTGCCCAGGACGTTTCAGCCTCTTACTAATAGCAATGGAAAGGACTTTATATACAGTTGGCAGCAGCGCTATTCCTCTGTAGTTGTATCTGTAGTTATGGCAATTCAAATTGTCATCCTTTTTAAAAATGGGGCATTTAATATCTCTAAGTTATGGATAATTGGATTTCTGAACAAATACAAAAATGGACATGGTGATATTTACCTCCGGGGTACAGATATAAAACAATAAATTTATATAAAAGCATGAAATTAAAGTTCTGTATTTTTCAAAGTAAATCATATTTTTTGTTTAAGAAAGCGATAACTAAACAAATATTTGATTTAAGTACTTTACGATTGCTTCATAGTGAGCTAGAGAAAATTTTCTTCAAATGCTAGTACATTTTTTTTTCTTCCTCACTACCGAAGGTGGGAAAGAATTGTATTTTTTAATGAAACCATTTGAAAAGGGCACTCAGGCTTATAAGCTACGGTAAGTTTGTTTTTTATAAAAAACATTTATGAAAAATGTCCCAACTAAACTGCAGGTAGCGTAAAATCTTCCTTATTCAATAATCCTTAACCCAAAATAATTCAGTTGAAGTTTGTTAACAATTAAGTTCAGATTTACCTTGTGTAAAAAAAATTATGTGATTTGACATTATGTCATTCCTAGAGAATCTGTGTTTTCATGAAAAATATATGGATCAGGAACATTCAGTTGATCGCTTAGACATATATTTTCATAAAATATATCTGTATGAAAAACACTAATACATTATCACTACGTATGATTAATTTAAAAAAAAAAAAACAGTATTTTTTTTTAAATAGGAAGTGTATTTTTCGTAATAAGTTATTATAATACATCCCAGGCCGTAAAAAAAAAAGGAAATCAACTTTTTTAATAGTTTATTGCTGTTATTTTTGATGAAAACAAAAATACTCTGGGAAGGACATGATATCAAACCACATATTTTTTTTAATTTTTACATAACTAAAATGAATCTCAACTTTTGCAGAAACAAGCCTCTACTTATTTAATACGGGTTTAAATCAATTAGACAAGAAAGTTTTTACAAATGTGAAGGATGCAATTGAAGCGTGATGAAAAAAACAAACAAAAAAAAGGAATAATTATGTTTTTATGAAAAAGAGAACTTGAGAATTTTTGCAGTTATTAATTACTTTAATTAAATATTTTTTTAGTCATCACAAAAAAACTCGTCTAATTAAAAAAACCAACTTTAATTTCCTGCTTTTCTGCGGAAAGTAGTACCATTGTTTACCTAACCATTTTTGTAACTATCGAGTTCTACTATCACCCCTTTAAATATTTTTCTTTGTTAATGGGATACCCAAAATGCCATATTGGCTAGTGCACTGTTTGTTTCCTGTTGAAGCTTGTCGTTTCTTTAGGGTGGCGACCACTAGTGGATCCAGGATTTAATTTTGGGGGCTTCAGCCCGAAAGATTTTTTTTCATATATATAAAGATAATTAATATGAAAAGAGAAAGAAATGAACTATCTATATGGAATGGTGTTTAAGTGATTTTTGAAGTCCTATCAAATGTAATTACACGAACAATAATGCTTTAAGGGGTAGTTTTTAATATTTTTTTTCTATAAAACGTGGTATATTTTACCGTTTTGGGGGGGGGAGGCTTAAGCCCGAAAGCCCCCTTCCCCCCGTAAATACGCCTGTGGTGGCGACCGACATGGTAAAGTCAGGAAATTTTCAAAACAGGGAAAACTAAGGGAGAAGTCAGAGAAAAATTGTTAAAGTCAGGGAATTTTAGTGCGTAAAAATTTTTTTCAAATAGGAAATAAATATAATGTGAATATCGTTTATAATGGCCTTGAAGAGATCAACTTCGTCGTTATGAACGGTTACGGTCGCTTTATTCATCCACATTTAGCTGTCAATAACGGTACTGGTCGTTATATCGAAATCAAACAAGGGTAATGAATAAAATTTAAGCAAAATGAATTTAAAACAGTGTTATTTTGAAAAGATAAACATACAAGTTCAGTGTCAGTATTCAGTATTCTGACTAGGCTCTCCCTATAGGAGTCCACAATATAATTTAAGTGATGAATCATGAAAAAATAAAAATTATGACAAATCTTATAAAATTAAAAAAATAAGAGGGTATTAGGATGAGATACTGTCTGAAGATGGGATAAGAATTTGGATCCCGAAACGTCATAAAAATAAAGAAAAATTATTGAGAGTGAATGCTATTATTAAATCTTATTTATATACCTCAGATAAAAAGTATCTTCCTTAGGACTTATGAAGATACAATACTATTGAATATTTGTAATATAAACATCTGGGTCAAGATCTGCCTAGCACTCGACCCGTGGAGCATTTATTATCCAGGAATGTCACAGTTAGTGTCATTTGGATAATTATTATGCTGTTCATAGTAATAAAGAAACTAAATTACATATGAGATAGTACATTAATATTTGAATCTCTCCTAGCTCACTTTATTTTATAATATAGAAAATCATAGCTTGTGAAGTGAGAAACTTTTACCTCCTCTCAGTTTATGAAAATATAATGAAAGCGACAAAAATAAATTAATAATAGTTTAGTTTTCAAAAATAAAAAATTCTAATCAACCTTAAAACATCTTTGTCTAAAGCATGACTTTTTATTTTACTCAAATCATTTTGTAGTCAATTTTCTTTCATATATAATAAATAAATTTAGTTATGAATTATACATTTTTAATATTTGTGTCCCCAGAACTATTAGTAAGGGAAAACTATCATTAAATAGGTAAATGACAGGCACTAGCGGATCCAGAATTTAATTTTGGGTAGGGCTTCAGCCCGAAACCTTTTTTTTTCATAAAAATAACGATAATTACTTTGGAAAAACAGAAAGAAACTAACTACCTATATGAAATGGTGTTTAAATTATTCCTTAAGTACTTTTAAATGTAATTTCACGAACAATAATACTTTAAGAGGTATTTTTAAATTTTTTTTCCCCATAAAACATGGTTATATTTTTCCATTTTGGCCCCCCCTCCCCGTAGATCCGCCCGTGATGACAGGGAATTTTACTTTAACTGTGTGGTAGCCACCCTGTTCTTTCATATTTCATTTTGACCTTTTGGTTCAACTTTAGATGGGCTGCTTATGAAATAAAATTGTATTTATTTTTACTTTGAGTTGTTATCTAATTGGTTAGAAATAACCAATAACCACTGTGGTTGGAAATAACAGGTTCTCTTTTATCATAGATCTCTGCTAAATTAACAGCAACTTTTAATAAGCAGCAAATTACAGATTACAGAAAATTTTATTTGAAATAGACGTTGTTTCATAACACGATCAGATTTTTTGATACCACACATATCACTGCTGTCATTTTCATTTAAATATTTTGTTTTTATTTAGGTATTTCTTTAAGCTTGCATGGACACTTACTAACTAATGCAACAACCGAGAGAATCGGCCACAGGTACATATTTTTGGTCTTCGGTTTCGAAGGAAGCAGTTTGTCAATAATGACCAAGTCGTCGACCAGCTCGACGATAGGGTGGAAGAGGAAGACCATCGGAGTGCCTTTAATGATTAGCTCTAGGACGTACACGGATACGGAAATCTGAAACAAAAATATTTTTATCAGAATACATAAATCACCTCATACAACTGCATGGAAACCGTTTATACCTTTATGTGAAATTGTCACAGTTGTTTAAGTATAAACGTTATTATTAAAAAGATACACTGAGATTTAGTTTAATTTTTTAGTTTTGACGAATTCATATCATGTGCAATTGTCTGATTAATTCTCTATATTTAATTAATTAAAAAAATAAAGTTAGGTGTGAGTCATAGGCGCAGATTCCGGGAGGGTTGTGGTGGGCGACCCTCTTTCCCCAATAGAAATGCTGAGGGGCGAAAAAATCTTTGTTGTTTAGTTGTCCTTGTTGAAAAAAGTAAATAAAAAGGAAAAAATAATGATGAAGATTGTTTGGAAAGTCATTATAGAAATAGGCAAAGACATAACAGTTCAGTACCATTTTATCCCTAGTTTCTCAACTTTTTAATTGTATAAAAAATGAAAACAAAATAAATAAATAAATCATCGAAATCGGAAAGAATGATGTTTATAAGATATTTTTTTACACGTTTTTAGGTTCATATTTTTTAGGAGAGCTCTATTATCACAAATTTATATTTGTAATGGAATGTTATCAATGTAACTGAACTGTTTTTTATTTTACATATAAAATTATATTTTCTCAAATATTCAGTAAATGGATGAATAAGAATGGAAACATATACATTGGAACACTACCGGATCCAGGATTTAATTTTGGGGGGGAGGCTTCAGCCCGAAGGATTTTTTTTTATATCTATAACGATAATTAATTTGAAAAAAAGAAAGAAAGAAACTAACTAACCATATGACATGGTGTTTTAGTGGTTCTTTAAGTCCTATTAAATGTAATTACACGAATAATAATAGTTTAAGAGATAGTTTTTTCCTATAAAACATGGTTATATTTTACCATTTTGGGGGAGCTTCAGTCCGAAAGCCCTCCCCCCCCGTAAATCCGCCTGTGCATTGGAAACTGTTTTTTTCTATTTTTTCTTCAAATATTCAGTAACGACTGTGGTCGAATTTCGACCGCTGGGCAAACGCTAGTGTTGTTAAAACGTTACGATATCAAGTGATGTAAAAAATCAGGTATACGAAAATTAAGGAAAAAATATATTCTATTCAAAACATGATCATCATTTGTGATTAGTAATTATTTTATCAGTAATTTACTGAACATAATAATTTTAGGACGCTAAATGGCTAATCGATATCAATATTCTTAATGTAATGAAAAGGTAGCTCAGTGGGTAAGACGATGACTTTCTGAGCTCGAAGTACTGGGTTTAAGTTCGGCTGATGGTAGATATTTATATAGTTTGTTACATCATCAAGTCGACCCAGGGCTCAGGAGGCCCTCCTGGGGCACACTTAGCCTCAATAAAATGAGTTCTCTTAATTAAATAATTATGATGGAAAAATATGGCGGTTGAGCGTGATCTCAGCCAAATCACATCCTACACAACCGTTGGGCTTCAAACAGACGTTCCTTACTAAATACTAAACCCAAGACCATTCATGGCTTTTAGTGGTGCAATTATTAAGGCTAAATTTATATAATTGTTTTAAATGAAATATTATTCTTAAGGCATTAATAATTTTTCTTTACTTCGTACCTGTGTCCTACTTCACAGACGTACATAACATTTTAAATAAGATTTGAAAACCTTATGGCTTTATCTTATTCGGAAAAAATAATAAAAGCGAATACATTTTTGGTGTTTTTTTTATTCAGGTGTTTTCCTTTAATTATGATTCATATTTCGTCCGAAGTGAACTTCATTATCCTTCGCTAAAGCCTTCTTAATGAAATCGTTTTATGTACAACATAAAATTGTGTATACACTGCTACAAAAACGCATCACTTAATTTATGTCACAATTGCATTATATCTTTTTGAACCGAGCAGGTTTGGATACGGCTCAAGCTCCATGTGTGAAACCAGGTTTCCTCCATTCCACACTCAAAAACTTGAAAATAGCTTTAAATTGAAGAATTAGAGAATATAGCTCAAACATTGGTTAATGACGTTCTTGAGAGAACAGAAGCACAACGTGACAAAGGCACATTACATAGACGAGTAACTGGTTATAAAAAGGGTTTTTACAAATTCAAATCTGGTTTATTTCAATCATCTATTTTGGCCTAGTTATCAAGAACCATATTCAGTGTAACCGAATAGAAATTAAAATAAATAAATTTAACCTGGCGTTGATTTTCTTTCATTTAATTGCGCCTTAAAGGAGTTACAAAAAATTAATCAACAAATAAGCAAGAAATTAAACAAATGTTTCCTGTAAAACGGTCAAAATTGTTGTCCATTAATCTTTCGTCGATATTACAACCAGGACTGACATTAGGCGTATCGTTTCGCAATTAAAAGATCATACCTTGGATGATAGAATCCTCTGGTCCCAACCGACTAGAAATACTCTGGCACTCATGATGATATAAGGAAGGAAGAAAGAAGTCAATGTGATCATGGAGGCTTTAGAGAAGGAGATGCCATCATGGTGGAGGACCACGGGAAACAGTCCCATCAGCCTCTGGATCCTGACCAAGGGAGCCATTGAGGACACCACACCCACTGTCATGGCAAATGCTGATGACCTTTCCAGTCCGCAGTTAAAAAGTAGTATTTGTGTATAGAGTTCCGCTTGTCTGGAAACGTCATCATTCGATATTTCACATCCTGTTGAACACGTAGCTCATTTTCTTCTTGATACTAATGATATTTGAACAAAGCCATTATATTGTTCCAAGCGAAAGCTTTATGTGACAGTTTGGTATTGGTTCACGTATAGTGTTTGTTTTATTTATCTAATGTGGAAATATAGAATATTAAATATATATATACAAATCATCCTGTGTGAAGAAAAAGATTGATCTAACTTTTATTAAAATAAATGTTAACTAAATTATATAACTGCAGAATGGCTGAATAGATAAAAAATATATAGTAAAAACGAACTTACTTTGCCCGTGACATAAGTTTATCTCATTTGGCATACCAAATAAATCCGCGGTGCAATATTTAATTTTTATGAGTAAAAAGAAAGTTTACTTCCTAGTTTATGAGCTCACATATATTACGTGATGAGTTAATTTTCTGTCACGACCTTCATCCTGGGCATGCAATCCACTCTAATCTGCCACCTCAAAACAGGGGCCATTCGAAATGGTTTTTGTCGAATATGAGTACCAAAAAAAAAGAAGCCATTTGAAGATGATTTATTTCAAGCACAAGAGAATCTATACACCTCCTTGGGGTCAAAATAGCATTGTCTACCAAAACTGGAGAGGGGCGTTGCACCACCAGACGAAATTCAAATTTTCCGTTTTTTCATTCAATAGATGAAATATGAAGATGGGTTTTTGAATTTTTGAGGGTGGCACGCACATTTCGGCCGGCTTATGATTTGTCGGAATGATTCTGCAAGTTTAATTTTATATGATCTGCGATTGTTCTAATTCTACCTTTCACTTGCTCTGTTTTTAAGAAAAGGTGAGCAATAAAATATCTTAGGAATAGAAGGATAGGTTCTTGCACCATCGTCCTTGGATGAAATGGGCACCCCTGCTCATGAATCTATACATCCCCTCGAGCACAGGCGGATTTAAGGGGAGGGCTTTCGGACTGAAGCCCCCCCCCCCAAAATGTTAAAATGAAACCATGTTTTATGTTAAAAAATATTAAAGAATTATGTCTTTAAGTATTATTTCTCGTTTAATTACATTTAATAGGACTTCAAGAATCATTTAAACACCATTTGATATAGGTAGTTAGTATCTTTCTGTTTTTCCAATGTAATTACCGTTATATATATGAAAAAAAAAGCTTCCGGGCTGAAGCCCCCCCAAAATTAAATCCTGGATCCGCTAGTGCCCTCGAGTGCCAATTAACTTTGTGTGCCGACAGAAAATATTTAAAATTCATGCTTTTTATTTTTATGAATTATTTTGTTCGTTCATTTCTGCACTTTGTGAAAAATTTTCCAAATAAAACTAGACATATGACTGAACCAAAAAAAATCTGGTGCCAGTAATATCAAAGAAATATTGTTGTACTCATTTCTTCTTTAACACAAGTACAGTAAAATACTTTTTTAAACAATTACATAGCCGATGTTTGTGGATTATATATACTTTTTTTTTAAATATATCTATCTTAATGGCTCTATAGCTCTCAGTGGGTCCTGGCCTCCTCAATGAGCTTCCGACAAATTTCTCAATTCTCTGCGGCCACTTTCCAGTTTCTGACTCCCCACAGGTCTCTAGCGTCACCTGCCACACCATCTGCCCATCTCAATTTCGGTCTGCCAGCTACCCTCGTATGGTGTAATAGCCCTGGAGCCAGGGCCCAAAAATCGACCTGATCGCAGGCGAAAGTTTGATTGTAAATTACGAAAGTGTATGTTATTCTGAGTAAAAAGAACCTTGTCTGCCGTTCCAGAGCCGCTGCTTTCAAAAATGGCGGATGATTTAAAGAATATTAGGTCAGTAATTTGAGGATCGAAACGAGAAATCCATTACGAAACATGTGAGAAAAGTTTTTATTTTTTTAACTTGTATATTTAGTTTAGACATGTAAAAAACAAAATTGCTAACGCGGGCCACCAAGGGAAAACTTTTTGCAGCCAAAAAAGTCAGATTTTTTCGATATTTTTTGGGTTTTTCACCTATAACTCCTAAACAATGCATCAAAATGAAAAATGTACTCTTTAACAAATTAAAGAACGTCAAATTTTGCGTCAAACGATTACATAAAAATTAAAATTCGGTTACGCCTTATATAAATGTAAGTTATGAAACCACGGTCAACCAAAGCTGAGTTTTACCAAATTTGTCAAAAACTGAGAAAAATTACTATAAATGGTCCTGTAACTTGGAAATGAGTTCCCTAAGTGGAAGAACCCATAGAATCAAAGTTGTAGAGCATAAAATTTTGCGTCAACTGAGTACCAACTAATTTAATTTAGGTCACTGGTTGGGAAAAAATCGGTAATCTATCGATAGTTAGAAATTGGTAATAAATGTACAAGTGATTTTCAATATTTCAACAGTATGGTTGTCTTTTCTAATGAGTTTTATTTCAAGTGACGTCTCATTTTTTGCTGTAATTTGAGATCCCACATAAGAGAACTGTCGGACATTCTCAAAGGTGTAAGGGCCTAGAGATATTCTTTGGTTTTGGGGATTCTCTCCTTCTCCTGTATACATATATGTTTTTTTATTCTCATTAATGTGGAGCCCCATCTTAGCTGCAGCTTTTTGCAATTCAAGGAAGGCACCTTCGAGAGCTGCTAAGGACCGTGCAACAATATCGATGTCGTCAGCATAACATAACAGTTGCACCAAATTTGTGAATATCGTGCCTCTAGTCTGAATGCCAGAGCCCCCTCCCCCCACCACCTTCTCCGGAGTCAAATTAAACAATAAACATGCCAAAGCATCACCTTGTCTCAGTTTTCACCTGGGATATCATATTCTGGATCTTTTCAAACTTAAGAATAATTTTAAAATGTATGTTTAGCTAGAGAATTTCATTTAGTTCCCATGAAAGCATTTGGTTTCCTTTAAATACCTACATATACATTACGTCATTTTACGTAGATATATATATTTAAAGTAAATTAGATGTATGTAGTTAGAGCAATACAATAACGAATATTATAAAAATTAATTTTTTCAAAAAATTCTCGGAATTGACATGTAAAGTTATAATTAATCTAACTTTTGAACCGTTGGAGTTAAACGAGTAAGATAATATATATATTCTTGAAGAAAATTTAATTATTAAAAACTTTATCCCGTATGACTTAACCGTAGAACCGAAGCCATCAAGAGTCAGCTAGTCAAATAAAGTAAAAAGAATGAGGTAAAAAAATTGTTTTTCCGTATTAGAGATAGTTGTGGACGGATATCTTGGAAATTAAACGAGATAGAGAAAAAAACGTATGTATTCAATCATTTTGCAAATTTTATCTGCTTTAATTTTGTTTTGAATGTCTTGGTCAATGCAATGGATACTTTTCTTGATATAAGTGAAAACTCGAAATATAGCAATGAACTTGAGGCAAACAATTTTTATTTCAAAAGTAGCCATGGTTGAGGACGGATATCTCGGAAACTAAGCGAAGTAACGAAAAAGAATATATAATCAATCATATTGAAAAATTTATCAGCTTTAATTTTGTATAGAATGTCTTTCTCGATGCGATGGATAGTTTTCCTGATATAAGTGAAAACTCGAAATACAACAATGAACATGAGGCAAACAATTTTTATTTCAAAAGTAGCCATAGTTAAGGACGGATAACTCGGACTACTAGCGGATCCAGGATTTATTTTTGGGAGGGGGGGGCTTCAGCCCGAAAGTTTTTTTTTCATAAAAATAACGATAATTACTTTGGGAAAAAAGAAAGAAGCTAACTACTTATATGAAATGGTGTTTAAGTGATTCCTAAAGCCCTTTTAAATGTAATTACATGAACAATAATACTTTAAGAGATACTTTTTTAATATTTTTTTCGATAAAACGTGGTTATATTTTACCATTTTGGGGGAGGGCTTCAGCCCGAAAGCCCCCCTCCGTAGATTAGCCCGTAACTCGGACACTAAGCGAAGTAACGAAAAAAGATATATAATCAATCATATTGAAAATTTTTTTCAGCTTTAATTTTGTACAGAACGTCTTTGTCGATGCGATAGATAGTTTTTCTTAGCGAAAACCCAAAAAAGTGACCTTCGCAATATTTATGTTGAATTTTTACATTTGAATTTTTATATATAATAAAAACTCCCGTCATTATTCCTTTATTTATTTTTTTTTCTGTCTCTCCTCAATCAAAATCGAACGTCTGCGGCTATGTGTATCTACATAATTTTCTCTTCTTGGTGAATCTGAATCTGGAATATTTCTAACTCCTTGCTGATAGGGAATCTAGTGAATTGTTATATACTCGCTGAATCTCAATCTATAAGATCTTGAATTTTCTTAATGATTAATGAGGGTACTTAACCTAATATTTTTCATAGATTTTAGCCACGATAGTGGACTAAAATTATTACAAAATGACAACTTCTGATTTCCTTTTTATATAAATTTCGTCTTTGTCTACAAGGCTGAGGGGTGTTCTAATATGAACTCTCTGCGCCTGTGTAGATACATATTGAACAAGAGTGCAAGATCCGGTTTTATCCAATTGCTTTTATTCCTGGCGATGACTTCCGACGTTGGTCATCAATACTTCGGCAAAAAGGAAAACTTGAATTATAATACAAATACTTAAACTGTATCAATCTGTCATTGTTATTAGTTTAGCTTCACTGGTAAGAACAATATGCACACAATCGAGTTGTATATTTCATTTAAGATTAATGTTATTAAAAATCCCGCTAACTTAAGCCAGGTATTGTCTTGAATAGATGAAGGAATTTCCAGGGAAAATGCTTCGACTTGGATACATTAGATAGGCTACCGACCACAGCCAAGAGTTTTCTAATGAAACAAAATTTGAAGTACCATTACTAGCAATTGATGGCATGATCTCAAAGAAAGCACCCAGTGGTGGACAGGTTTATTAATTATAAGGAGGGGGGTGGCGGCGCATTCTTGTCAAGGTGGGGATGGAGTACAGGGTTAGCGACGGTTAGGGAAGGTTGTGCCCAGGTGGACGGCCTTCTTTAACTTTCACTTCTCTCTTGTTTGCCATCTTTCACAAGATTCATTGAATCCAACCGTACACCATGTAATCGTCCTTATCTGTCATCCACCTTGCCGACATGCAACAATTACTGGCTGGTAGGTTAGCTTATCCTAAAATAGGTACCTAACATCCCATTCAGTCTTCTTGCCTATATCTTTACACATATTTTTGACTAAGTGCTTATACTTGATTTGCTTGTGTAATGTACTTTATATAAAAACGAATCTAAGCTTAAATTAGTTCCTTTTAAACGCTCAAAGACTGTATTATAAATAAATAAACTTGGCCTCATGGAAGAGACTTTAATGCCGATCATTGACATGCATGTCAGGAATGCAATACGTTTAATAAAACGTGAGCATTTCATTTTTTTTTATTTTGAAGTTGTTAAATGATATTTAAAATTTCTTGTATCTTTATTCTAATAGTGATATATATATATTTATTTTATTTTTTTATTTTTTTTTTTACTGGCTGTTCTTATCAGTTTTGATAGCATATTAATGAGCCACTGTTCATCTTCCTAAATTAGTAAAAAAAGGCAAATATGTTCATTAAAAGAATAACAGTTTTACATCAAGTTAAAAAATTTATTGTAGTTGTTTGTAACTGAATAATTATTTCGAAATTCTTCCGAACCGAAGACCCAACAGTTAATAAATTAGTAATGACTGGTTTCAGAAATTCTTATGTTATTTTAATTATTGAACTTTGTATAAAATAGCTATTTCCTTCTAATAAATGTTTCCTAATTTTTTGGTTTCTTGATGTTTTTTTAATTTTTAATGTATATGAACACTATCATTTTTCAGACCACGGTAACCAAATGAATACTAATACTTTGAATTTCTTTTTTTTTTTCTCTTACATTATAGAGTAGTTATAAAAAATACATCTAATATAAAACCAGAGGACTACACTAGACCAGATGGTACTTTTAACAACTCTATAATGTAAGAGAAATTAGAAAAAAAAAAAAATTCAAAGTAGTGTTATCTATTTGGACACTATGGCCTGGAAATGGTAATAGGAAATACTGTTAGCAGTTCTCCTAATCTAATCTAAATTAATCTTGCTAATATTTCGTTAAATGATGAAACACTAATTTATTGAATTTGAACATATAAATAATTGGCATTTGTCAATTCAAGTAAGGGAATAGAAGTTTCAGGAAGAGGAAGAGACCTTCCTTTAATTTAATTTAAATCACTATTTTATTCTTTATTTTTTCAAAGTCAATCTTCATATGCATGTGAAAAAATAAGAAATATGTTACTATTAATATAAAAGAGCCAAAACTAAAAAAGAAATATAAATTAAATGGAAGGAAATAATTGGAAAATTCCAAACACAAAACCTTAATTCTTAAAAATGAATCTCAGAATCTCCCTTGTAAAGGAATTCGCCTATTAACACTTTGCCAATTTAAGCAAATATATGACACCTATGAAATTACAATTTTCTGTTGTAATCAACTTAATTATATTAAATACAAATTATGTATGCATATTTAAAAACAAAAAAAAAATCTTTTTTATTTCATTTTTAATCATTTCCCTATTGTGAACTATAGTATAATATTATAAAAAATTGACAAAACAGTATGTAGCTACTATTGCAGAATAAATTTTATGACAACAGTATGAGTTAAAAAAGAAATATAATACTCTTATTTCACTCCATACTTAAATAAAATAGATTGACTGAATTATAAAGTTGTTGCAGGACTAATTCTAGTCATCCAGTTTTTCCTGCCCAGTCATTGCGCTGAACTGAGCTCCCATATTTCGGAAAATAACATCCATGGGTCTATCACATTTTTCAACTTGGAACAAGGAGGAAGGGTCCATATCTTGGCCAAAGTGGACACTCAAACCAATTGGTCCTGGGCCATTCATCACCTCCCAGTTGACTATTCTGAATTAGAAAATCGATGCAGAAACGAAAAGCTAGGCCCTGTGTATGTATTCCATTTTTTATGATTGTAAATTCAATTTTAGAAAATAATATTATGTAATGTTCACTAAGGCATGAAATATCATTACACTAAGGCATGAAATATCATAGGAATAAGTTGTGATTATTTAACTTAATTAACAAAATTGAAATAATTTGGTTGAGTGAAATTTTGAATTGTATTATTGCAGATTGCATGACTTGACAGCACCATTGGGACAGCTGACCAATCAGACTGTGTCGTTCGAAACTGATGCTGTTGAACTCACTGGTCCTAATGGCATCTGGTCTAGATCACTTCTTTTGACCTCATTCAAATGGTGAGAAGGCTTGTGCGACTATAATTGTGAGTTGAATTATTTAGGAAATCACTTACTTCTCCAATGAATAATTATATAAAATGATGAATCACAAGTAAAAATTCCATCATTCTGAATGCATTACTGCTGGATTTTTATTTCATTTGAATTTAATGTATTCAATTGAATCATTGTATTCTAAACTTGAATATTTTTTGTCTGATGAAATTGCAATTTCCCATCCTTTAGTTGTATGTGTATGTACTTCATACCAAACTCAACTAAAACAGTTGGGTTTTTATAAAGGAACAAACATCTAACAGTTAAAAGAAAAAAATATGTAAAATGGATTGTTCATATATTCTATTTTACTGAAAAATTGTCAGAACTAAGTATTTCACTTTTTTTTATACTCTACTAATGCATACATATCACTGTAAAAATGCACTAATATTTTAAACAGGTACTTAATACATGAAAAATACTTTTTAATAAATATCACATGTTTTCTCATTTTCCTATGTATTTTTTTTTCAATTATAGAAATTTTATTGAATACTTAAAAATATATATGTTTACACTGATCTTTGCCATTTGATATAAATGGATTCAACAACAATGAGAAAAAATTAAGCACAATGTACGTACAAACTATGTCGAGGATAACTGGAATATTCCTTTTCTGGAATTGGATATTTATAGAATATCCATTTTCAATTCAGTTTAAACCCTTGATTTTGCCACATATACCCATGTTTTCATTTATTTATATTTTTAATGTTTATAAAGTCATTAGGTCTTATTCATTACATCGAATAAATTATTCAAGTAGTACTTTGTTAATATAATTATGTATAAAACCAATATTTGAACCTAGTGAATTACAATGCTACAAAAAACATCTCAAAATTTCATTATTGCATAGGTACTAAAGTTAAAAATCAAAATTCTTTTACTTATTCTTTAAGATCCTCTTCATCTTTTGTAACCTAGTTATGTCTTCATTTGAATCTGCTTTTCAAATTTTTTTTTCAATTTTATTTGAATTTCTTTTGAAATATGAAATAGTTTTTGACGAATTTAACTGTAGTAACAAGTAATGTGTATACACCCTTAAGTTTCTTTATAATTCACTCCAAATTGTTTAGGTGAATTTGAATTGAAAGTAGATCAAGGTCAGAATTAAATATTACATTTTCCTTATTCTAGCTGAGGATTCACTGATCATTCACTTAGGCTGAGTGATGTGATCTGAAGAAATTAAGGTAACTTTGGTCATAATTTTGACCTCAGTTGTGAGGAAGGTCATTTTCTATTTTCTTGCTAGTGATCCATAAATCTCTGTAGAAGGAGAATAGCTAGCATATCCTTGATTTACTATTATGGCGAATCTCAGTTACCCTTGACTTGTTTCTGTTTACCTTACTAAGATAAAAGTGTCTTTGGTATTTCTTTTACTACTAATTAATTCAGTTTAGTTTACCTATTGTAGTAGGTACAGTTTTTCTTTATTTGTGTTTTCTTTTTTACATGGAGAGTATTTTTTTTTATAGATTTGTATTATGTTGTAAAAATAAATTTTAAAAATCAATATTTGAAAATCACTTTAACTTCTTCTGTTGCCCCTAATCAGCGTTAGTCTTCAATGTTCTTTTATATTACTCTCTTTATCTCTTTTTGTGTTACAATCTTGATCTTGCAATTTAATTTTCACTGTCTAATTATTAATTAAATTTTCATAATAATTTGATTAATATAGTTCTTAAACAATTTGTCAAATTTAAAAAATATACTTAGTTCTTTACTTTTTCTGTGCTAGATAAATGGACACTATTTAATAAAATTGGTACCATCAAGACCTAAATCAATTAAACTTGACTCAATAAAATCCTCTTATCTGTGTACCTGTCTACCCCTTGGAATCGTATGCTTTATTTTAATTTCTTGTCATAAGGCTCACTTGAATGCTACTCTTATGAGGTTTTGATTTTATACATAACCTCTCCCAACTTTTTAGGCCAGTGGAAACAGCAGTGTCAAAGTGGCTGAAGCTGAATTCCTTGGAGAGAATGATATCAATGGCATTGTCTTATTTCAATGGTATGGTAGCCAAACTGCTACTGATGCAACCATTTATATTGATTTACGCCATAACAATCAAAGGCTCAAGACCAAACATAATTGGCGTATTTATTCAACGGATATACTAGAATCTGAGCAAGGTACATATCATACTGTTATTAATATAATATTGAATTGTTTTTTTATCAACCATTGCTTGCATTAAAGGTAGTTTTTATTACCAACATCTTAATTAATACACCAAAAGTTTTCAACTAAAGAAGAACAAATAAACAATTTTTATAAATAGCCTCTTTAATATGAATCATTTTTAGATTTTATTGTTAAAATAGTTAGGATGGTAACGTTAAATTATAGTCATTAGCCTATTTAATCTACTTTCACAACTAAAAAATGATCTTTTATTTTTAGACAAAGCAAGAAGTGATTGCAACTCTCTTCAAGCTATTCTGCTTGAATTATCTGAGAGATTAGGAGAAGCAGTTGTTGGCGAGACACAGTTGCTCCGTGATCCACAGTTTCCACATACAGATATTGGAAGTGCTCAAAGGAATCTCTATTTGGTACTGCTCGACAATGATCATCCAGATACTTTCCTCACGTGTGCAAGACTACGATCAAAATCTCCTGCTCTTTTGAAGTCTGTATATTTTATTCTCAGAGATTTAATTAAATACCATTCAAGAAATATTTTAATAATATTTTTTACTTTTATACATTTTTTGACTTAATAGCGCTCATATATTGAATATATACATTTGTGTTTACAAAAATTGTAATTTTGAACCATCACTCATGAGAATGATAACAGTAGATGCATATATGAAGTTGAAGACTAGTGTATAAAGGTATCTTCTATTAGGCCAGGTCTGGCCAACGTGTAGTTTGTTCCCATTATAAACTCCAAATATTACTTAAAGAATCAGAAAAATGTAGGAAAAGAAAAGATAAAAAATATCTCATTAAGACTCGAGATTTAATTAAATTAAATTATAGTATGACAATAAGTGTTATTTCTTTTACATATATATATATATATATATATATATATATATATATATATATATATATATAAATTATATCTAGCTAAAGTGTTTCCCACTGTACGGTTAGTCCACTGTATGGTCTTCTAATTGGTCATTGAACTATTTAGGTTGACCAGGCCTGTTTTAAATTAAACCAATAGTTGAAACAGTTATAAATGCAGTTCAGTTGCTTCTAAATTATTTTTAAATCTGATACAGAGCTAAGAAATATTGCAATTTATAATATCAACAGTCAGAGCAGTTCTTTCTCAATAAAATAACTCACTAGTTTTTATAGTACAATACAATTATTAGACTGAAGCTCTCATAAATAAACCTTATAAAAACAGAAATTTTTTGCAGGTTATACTGTAAACTTTTTTATATCCTCTTTTTAAAGAGCACTTCATGATATTTGGCCTTTTAATTTCTTGTCTAATTGGCTTTTCTCCCTTAACTTTCATTAGTTGTTTGCTACTAATGGAAGCAGTGTTGTAAATAACTACTTATGTTTATTTTCAGAGCAGTGGTTAGTTCTCATGGTGTGATCGGTAGCCTTACTTTTAGTCAAAAGTCTATATTGACTCCTACACGAGTTGTGTTAAACATCAGCCGAGTGACCGATCCAGTACTGGGAGGATTCAGAATTCACAGTCTACCAAAGTTAACATATACTATGCCTGGTCTGTGTCCTGGAATTGGAGATGTTTTCAATCCAACAGCTAAACCTATCGGTGCAGATGCATCTGTTCCTGGTTAGATTTATGTTATTACAATAATTAATTTAGAGTAATCCATAAAATGTAACAATGGACCAATAATTTGGTCTGCACCATTACAAGAAGCCCCAACAAAAAAAAACAATATTTTTTTCTCTCGTGTGTAGTAATCTGTGCAAGAGGAGCTTGTTTACAAGGTGGACATATTCCATTCTAATGAGTATAATGTATGTACAAGATGTGCTGTTTACATTTAATATTATACAACTATAGAAAGCAAAAGAAAGAAAAAAAAAAAAAACCGGTGTTGCGCAATTACATAACTTTCACCTACCACCCTACTTTCAATAGAAATCAATTTAAATAAAATAATAATAAACCTTGATAATACTGCTTACAATTATAAATGTATGAAAATTAACATAAAGTATGACACTTCTGTGCACTAGGGACATTTTCAAAATAAATTTAATATTATACAGTTCATAAATAAGTTTGACCAAAAACTATAAAAATATTAAGAACATAGCATTATTAGTTTCTAGTTCAACTCTCTAAGTTAAAGAAATTCTTTGCAGTTTTAAATTTGTACACAGAAGTTTGTCTTAAGTTTTACTTTGTCAAAGAATACTATAATATTTAAGTGAAACGATAGGGAAGATATTTAATATAGATACATTGTTAAGTCCATGTGGATACTTCATTTTATTGCTGATTATCATTGAAGTTATGATTTTTTAATTCCCTCTTATTTGCTTTTCCTTCTCTGTAATCTTAGACTTGATTAGTCTCATCTATTGAGAATAGGGCTCATTAAGCCTATCTATTATTAATAGATCATTATTTGTGAAATTACTAAGTGTAATGAGTGTTACATATGACCCATGACTGTTACATTCTTATTGTAACACTCTGACAAATTGAATGTGGACATTGGTATAGCATTTTAATATTATGTTATCTGAGTAAGGAAAACTTGCAATAAGAAACCAAATTGAATGAATTTTCAAAATATCACATTTAAAGTTAATTATTAGGGTGACATTCTTAATTACAGCTTTTATATATATTTTTTTAAATCTTTATAACAATTTACAGAACATTATTGTTGGGGCCAGGGGCAACACTTTCACATAGATCTTTTACATTTCCTAGTGATTTAATATCTTTTTTGACATGTATTTATTTATCAAATCTTGATACCACTTGAGATAATTCATCTCTCTCCAACAATAAAGCATAGAATGAAGGATTGTTCCCATAGTTTTTTTTATATTTGTTTTTGAATGTCTTTTAGTTTAATAGGTTGAACTTCATGTGATGCTGGTACCAATTTCTTAGGTTTAATTGAAGAGAACATAATACCAAGTTTGTTAACCTCGAGAGTCTAGATTATCTTGTAAAAGTATTTCATCTCACTGTTAATATCATGTATTTCTTTTTTAGTGACTTTTTTTAGAATTAGTTTTAGTCTAAATAAGTCTTCTTATTATAAATATTTTGAAAAGCTAGTCCTTCATACCCATAACAAATTATTTTACGTTAGATTTTCAATCATAGTTATCCTAATTTGTCCCAAGTATTTTCACAATACCATGGGCTGCAAAACAATCGTGTCAGTTATGTTTTTTTTTTCTGAAAGGGCTTTAGTATTGTATAGAGGATGAAACTAAAAAAAAAGAAATCATACTCATTTTTTGAAAAAAAATGGACTTGGCTATAAGAAGATTAATCATATTTCAACACAAACGCACTAACATGCACACGCACACGCGCACACAAACACGAGTGAAAAAATGCAGAATCACATTTCTATGGCTAAGAAACTCAGTTTTGTGTTGTTTTTTTCAAGTTGTCTTAATACTAAAGGTTGGCTTAGCTAACTTTTATTGGTCTGTTAACCAACTGTGTTTCTCAAATGAGCTTTTAAAAATATTTTTAAAAAGAGGAAAAAGTGATTGCTTTAGTATATTTGCTTATGGTTCATGGAAGTTCAGATATTTATTTAAAAGCTCTCTCTCTCTCTCTCTCTATATATATATATATATATATATATATATATATATATATATATATATATAAGATCTACAAGAGCTTAGTTAGAATCAGTTTGTTTATCACTATATTACTAATAAGTTTTATTTATAGGTTATAAAATTTGTTTTAGTGTATTTTTGCTGGATTGTCACTAGGTGAAACAAAAATTAATTGACCAAACTAAGAAAAAAATTGTAAAATTTGTGATTTTTTTATGTTTTATATTTGTTCCTAGTGATAAGATATCTTTTTTTTAATTTAAGGAAATGAAAGTCAAGATAAATACGCTGTTGGAGATGTAAGTGGCAAACTTGGTTATGCTGCTGAGAGAGAATGGGACTCCTTCCTGCCAATTTTTGGCAAGTACAGCATTGCACATAGAACCCTTGTTATTTACAGGTATTTTTTTAAATGTTACTTAAAAAGTTATTGTGACAAAAAATGGCAAATATAGTATTATTAAATAAAGAAATTATGAGATATGTAATATGGCAGAAAATCGTATTCTTATATAATTTTATTCAAAGGAAGGAATAAAGAATTGTTCACTTCTCTATAAATGTAATAATTCATTGTTATTTGTCCTTCATTATCATTTTGAATTGTTTAGAAATGGAGAAAGCGGAGTTGAAGAACCTTGGATATGTTCTACATTAATTCGTTACATATGGGCAAAACCTGATCAAAAGTTGCCTGTTTTAACTGCTGAAGTCAGTTATAGGTAATTATGTATACATTCTTAATTATGCTTGGTGATAATCGACTACTTTAAGTACATATTATTATTATATAATTAGCCGAAACAACTTAAAATCCATAATTACTTCTTTTAGATACCCACTTGTTGGCAAAATAATCATGCACCAACCTGTGGAAGGAGGAGAAACAACTGTCCTGGTAGAGGGTCTGGTTTACTCTGATGGCTCTTCACAGAACACCACCCATGAGCATAGATGGGGAATCCATATTAATCCACCTGGCAAGGACTATTTTAACTGGACTGCTCGCTGTGTTTCAGCTGGTCCTGTATTTAACCCTTTTATGGTATGGATTCGCTTGCTTATTATTCATTTTCATTTTCATCCACATTGTATGTTCCTATCAAGCCTAAAATATACTGACAGGCAAAAGATTCCGACCACTTGATTTTTTCATGTTTTCATCTAAAAATATTTCTGTTTTGGATTGGTCTATTGTTTTTAATGAATAAATAGGCAATCTTTTTGTTTGTTTTCAATTAGGAACGTTAATATAGAGGACAATAACCCTTAATCCTTAATTCAATGAAATTATTCTAGATTCCAATGTTTACTTTCTATGGAATCAAAATGTTTATTCAGTATCATTAGTTCAGTGCTGTTTCTTGCAGCACATTTCTTAGTCTCCGGCTTTTAATTTTTTCAGTATTAAGTTTGACAGGTTGGCTTTGACGGCCATTCGCAATGTAGATGAGATTTTGGAACCTCATGTGTTGCCTATCCTCAACGAAATCAGCGATCGTTCTATTCTAATAATAACGATAATGGTCGCCTGCATAGTGCAGACGTTCCTTCAACAAAACAATATTGAGGTTTTAGCCTGGCCAGCATGTTCTCCAGATTTGAACCCCATTGAGCATTTATGGGATAACCTCGGAAGGCGAATAAGAGCGCGTGCAACACTTCCTGATACACTGCAGGACCTTGAAAGGGCTCTTTGGGAGGAATGGGCTATCCTCCAGCAAAGGGACATTTCCCGACTGGTGGAAAGTATGCTGAGGCGTCTTCAAGAAGTAGTGAAGGCAAGTGGAGGAAACACATGCTAGTGAAAGATGATGTAATTAATTTCTTTTAGAATAATAATGGTTCATTTTTCAATTTTTTTTTCTCTAATATTTCTTACCCAATTGCATTTTGATTATTAAAGGTAAAAAAGATTATAAAATTCCATAAATACTAAGTATTATCTACAAATACCATGACCAATCCAAAGCAGAAATATTTTTAGATGAAAAAATCAAGTGGGTGGAATTTTTTGCCTGTCAGTGTATATTACAGAAACAATATTCAATGAAAGTAAATTATGATTTCCTTAAGAAATATCAAGTACTGCTAGTGAGATATAATGGGCCAGGAAAGATTTATGTAAAAAACAACTCAAACAACTCTAGACTTATATTTAAATATTTTGATGAAATATTGTGAATTTTATCGCAAACATATGATTACTTACATTTTTCTAAATTTGGTAAGTATATATCCTAATCACTCTCCCATATCTGGTTCACTCCCAACAACTTTAATCTAGATTTGGGAGATTTTAGGATTAGTTTAAATGTAACAGGACAACTGGATGTTAGAAAATATAAGGGGATTTAAAAGGATTCATATGATTTTACATGAAAGCTTCAAAATCAGTTTTATATTATGATGATTGTTTCTCTCATAATATATTTATTTTTAGTTTTCTTTTATTGTTATACTTACTTTTTCCATATTTTTTGTATGAATTAATTTAATTTTTTGCTTTAATTTCTCATTAATTATTTGTTGAAGGTGAATATTAGTCGCAGTCCAGAGTATGCTGTAGGCGATCTGACCAGCCGGTTAGGCACAATTATTGTGTCAGGTGCCAAAAAATTGCTGCAGGAGAGTAGATTGCTTTTTACAGACAGGAGACTTCCGCTATCTGGCGGGAACTCTATAATGGGTAAATCATTGGTCATATTTGATGACCATGGCCCAAAAGCAAGGGGTGAAAGACTAGCATGTTCAAAGTAATTTTTTAAATATAATTAATTTATAAATATTAAATGATAAAAATAGTTTATCTTTTATTTATTTGATACAAAAGCAATATTGAATGGAATTTAGAGTTAAAATAAATGAAACTTTTTTTCTTTTATTTTTTTGGGTGACATATACCACCAGGGCCTATTGTGCACCATAAATTTGCCGTTTAAAACATAATGGTATTGTTTGTTTACTTTAGCTCTTAGTTTTTAAACATTTCAGTTATACATAAAACATTAATTTGATTTTTTAAATTTTTTTACCACTAGAATAGTAGGTGTTTATCGAAGAAAGGCTGTAGTCAGAGATTGGTATGGTAATGGATTTCCTACCAAAGTCAGTGGGAAAATTGAATTTTTCCAAGAAACTCCTTACAGTATAACTGACATAGAAATAAATTTGGAAGGCTTAGAAGATGTCAATGAATATCAAATACATGAGGTAAGTTTTATCAATTTTAATTTAAATAGTTTTATCAATTTAAAGTGATGAACTTTTCTCATTAATTAAGAACTGCTTCCTTAGTATATTTACTCAAATTATATTTCAACCCAACCCTGCAATTTCTATTTTTAGACACCAGTGATGGAAATACTCGAGTTTCCCTGTGAGGAGACTACTTTATATGATGTTTATGACCCATACAATGTTATAAAATACAGTGGCCATAATGGGACCCCTGATCAGCTAAGGGTAGGAGATTTGAGTGGTAAATTTGGTGACATTGAAGACCAAATATCAGTTCAGAAAATTGGTTACAATGATACCAATCTCAACATTTTCGGCCCCCATTCCATTCTTGGGCGATCTGTGGTTCTTCATTCTAAAGCAGGGCGTCGGTGAGAATTTTTTTTACTTCCTTATACTAACTCTAAAATTTAGTTTCCATGTAGTTGATTTCCAAATTGATCAAAATTATTTTCTTAGAAATGTTTTACACCTGCAGGAGTGTCAATTTTGTCAGTTGACGGTGGAAAAAAAAAAATTGTTTTTTCATAAAAAAACAATATATAAAATCTATAATGATTTGAGTACATTTATTATATTGTAAACTGAGATTATGAAATTAAATTTAGAAAATTACAATTTTGGAAATTAAAGGAAATATACACTTCTTTCTATCCATTCTCCTTTTATTTCCTCAAATAACTCAAACATTACTATATATCAATATAGTTTCTTGTTTGAATTTGAAATTCATACAAATTAATGTAATTTATTTTCCTGTACAAATATATTTTTCTGTCGATAAAATTATTTATTTAATAATTTGTTTAGTGCTCACATCAACATAAATCGTTAAGAATATATCCAACATAAATATTAACTATTGTTATGAGGATTGCAAGCAAATGAAGCATTTTAAAATAAATAACAAACAACTTCAGCAAAAACAAATCCGCCCCAAGTCTGTTGCGAAAACTAACCTGAACTATTGATAGTATTGATAGTCTTTCATCGATAGTATCAAACTATCGATAGTAAAAAAATAATGACTATCGCTCATCTCTATTTGCAGGTACCTAATTATATGCAATTGGACCAACAGTGCCAACCTAATATCAGGAAATTATGATCTGTTTGATATAAACGTCCTTTTTTTTTTAATCCTATTTCTGTTTATATATATAGATAAAAAAATAAACTTTATACTTTATTTTGGGGCAAAGTTCCCTTAGAATAACAATAAAGAACAAATACATACCAATATATTCATAAATATATAATATTCATTGTTTTATATTTCAAAAAATTAATTTTTATGTATTTTACAGTCTCGCTTGCTCTACCATTGAGCGCGGCTACGCTCCTTCAGAAGCCAGGGAACTAAGAGCAATTGCATCTTTTCACCATCCTTTGGGCTTTGCAAGTGGCTACATTCGAATGGTAAAAAGATTGAACCTGTTTATTATAACTTTCTAATTTATTCTTACATTATTATACATTTTTTCTGAAAATATTTGAAGAATTGTTTTTAACTTAACCATGAAAATAGTATTAGCAACTCGTTTAGCCATTATTTCTGGCAACTTAATCCCTAGAAGTCGGGAGGGAGGGTAAGCAGGGTGGGCTGTTAAGATACTGATCTTTGGGAGTTAGTCTCCTGGAATGGGGATACTTTTCTGCTGTCCATTCTCACCTTTATCTTAAGTAATTAAACAACTTTAAATAAGTTGTTAGTATATTTCTTTTATAAATTTCATCTTCTACCATATAATTTACATTTAAAAAGCTATATATAGCTTATATAAATAAATATTTTATTTTTAAGTGGTTTTTTCCTGTTTATCGAAATTTATTCTTTTATATATGTAAGAACATTATACATGATATTTCATCATACTGAAGACAGCAGTTATCTGTTGTCAAAGGGTTAAGATTTGACAGGAAATTTTTGTAATTATAAATACTAAACTAAATAAAAGAATTAAATGAAATTATTTTAAGTTTAACGTCCTTATGTACTCCAGCTGGGACAGAAAGGATGAGTTATCCTACAGATGACCAAACTATTTCAGGAACAGTGTGAAGGTTGAGATTTATTCCATGGTTCCACCACAAAATAAATTTCAACCATTCCAGACCAGATTGAAATCAGTGCTGCTTATAGTTCAAGGTTACTTGTGTGGTGTTTTAACATGCTCATCAACCACGGCTTCATTAAAAAAAATTAACCAATCATTTCATTTTAATGCTTCTCAACATTTATGGATCACTAATGTTAGTTAATAGTTCAAACTATGTTTGTGGATTTTGCAAATGAGTTATTATTGTATTTCTTTTTTTTTTTTTTGTCATATGTTATAATTTAATTGTTTATGTAATGCCTTGGGATATTTTCAAATCCTTATTTATTGTGAGACTCATAAATATCTGTCAGAATTTACAATGAATATAAAAAAAAAATTAAAATAAGATTTGAAACAGTAAATGATAGCGCACATTACATTTTAAGAAGTTATAGATATTAACTATTTATTCATAAACTTAAGCGTTGTGTGAATGATTTATGCTTCTGGTATGATATAATAGTGAAACAAATTTCTTATAGACTCAGCTGATACACAATGATGGGAGTGGCAGCGATACTGTGATAGAAGTTAATTTGAGGCATCCTGGCGAACATGATAGGAATGTTGTAAGTTCTCGTCACTTTTATATCTTTGAACTTTACTAATTATGGTCTTACTTATTTTAATTGGTTTCTACAATCTATTTTCTTGTTTCAAGCATAGTTAATGTGATCTCAATCAATATTTATCAACCTTTGATGTGTGTAAAGCTCACAAATTTATTTTCTAATTTTGGTACCTGTTAAACATTTATACATTGTTTAATTTTCTTCATTATTGTTACACACAAGCAAAAACATAATTCTATGTCTTTGTTTTACAACCTTTCAAACCTATGTTATTAATTCTAATACCATTGTGCTTTTTATTTCTACTTTGTTTTATTATATTATAATTAAATGGTGTTTGTAAGATAATAGTATATATTTGTATTGTTTTTTACTAAATTATTACTATTTTTAATTTGTTATTCTTCTTTAGACTTATCGACATAATTGGGCTATCTATGTGAATCCAGTTGGTGTTGATGCAACTGTGCAAGTTCTCGATACTCGTTGTACTGCTGCTGGATATATTTGGAACCCACATTATACTCAGTTAGCTAATCCTTTGGATGTAAGTATATGACAGGTTAATAATGTAATTACCATTTTTTGCTTGAGTCTATTAAAAACCATATAAAGATTGTCAATCATACTAATTAAGAATTTACCGTTAGTTTTTTTTTTTTTTTTAAAAGCATTTATCCTGATTTGTAGGACTTTATTAAAGATATAATAAATAAGCTGATAGTTTATATGGTATTTACATTGCTACTTGTTCAACATTATTTTATTAATATTATTGATTTCATCAAGATAAAAATATTTTATTATGTTATTGACAATACTGAATAAGAATTTATGAATTCATTATTCTTAAAAACATCCAGCACACATTTTGTTATTTAAAACAAGTTGATTAGTATCTTAACTTATATCTTTACTCTAATCTTAAACTCTAACAATTGTTAATAGGTAGCAACCATAGACATTGAGATACCCATGCACTAACAATAATCCAATCATGAAGTGTTTATTTTTTTAAAATTCAATCTGTATTTGTTTTGAGGGAAGAACCCCATACGAATAGAGTCTATCTTTTTATTATGAACATTACTATCCTTATGGTAATACAATATTTTTCTTTGTAATGCTACATTATACATATTATGAAAGAGTTAAGAATAACTTACAAATCATATTTCGTAAAAAATCAAACAGCTAAAATAATATAATAATAATTATCAACATATATATAAAATGCAGATAAAATAATTATCAACATCAATATAAAATCTTAAATTGTCAATAGAGCATAAAAACAACAACAAAACAATAAATACATTTTATGATGTCTTTATTACTATTCCCCAAAACTATTAAATATTTCCCATATCCATCAAATTATAATAGCCTTAGAAATTATGATAAGCATGTGCCAATAATAAAGTGATTTATAAATCGTAATCATCATTAAATTAGCTACTTGTTGATATTACATTTGGCTATCACTCTTATTCCCCACTCACAACATTTTAATCCACTCTAGAATGCAAATTCTTAGTCTTCAACAGCAATTTGTGAGGCTTGAATATGTTATTTGAGCAAATATACAGGATATAATATGGTTCATCAAAAGTTTTATTTTTCTTTGGGAACTCTAGGTTTGGAAGGTTAGTCACAAAAGTGTTGACATGGCTCTGGACTGTACTCATTGCAAGTCCATATTTAGGAATTTAAAAAAAAAAAATGAAGGTTTAAAAAATAAACTGTTTATGATCTTCAATTATAATGTGGATGTGTTTTGCTAGCTTGGTAATATTTCATTTCTATCATTATATTGACATCATTATTCCAATTGAATTAATTTAAACATTGTCTTGAAAATTACACTTTTTTAAACTATTTTGCTGAGCAGTAGAATAAAGTGTACATTGCCAGATTTAAGAGGAGTTAAAAGACTTTTCAGCTTCAAACTTTTTATTTTTCTAGAATGAACTTTACAAGAAGGAATGTGGACCTGACTCACCATTGAGATGTTATGTTGGTGACCTGTCTGGAAGATTAGGACCAATCAATTTAGGATATAAAAGACAGGTTTTCTCAGACCCTAATATACCATTAGGTGAGCATGCGATTGATGATTTAAATATCATGAGCTTCAATAAACGGCACTTACTTTTAAGTAACTCCTCTCATTAGGAAATAGTTTAATTTTGACATTCTTAAATATATTGTTTTGTAAATATTTTGATCTATTAGTAAGACTTCAATTAAATATATTTTAGTATTTTTGAGGAAAAGTACGTAGCCATATTTATTAATGGTATTAATGTAAAATGCTAAATTTATAACACTTAGATTCAATAACCTTGAGGCTATACGTCACAATCTTATGATTTCTTCTCATTGGAAAAAGAGAAATGATTTGTCTATAGTCTGGAAGAGGAGTTAAGAAAACATAAATTGATGTTGAAGGGAGAAAGGACCAAAACCATAATAATCAGTGAAAGTGACAAAGACACTACCTGTTCATAAACATAAAGGAGTTCAAACAGTTAACAGATTTTGAATGATAAAAGATAATAATAATAAAAAATTCATTAATACAAACCATGAATATGCTGAATATAATACATACATTTTATATGCATATGAAACTTAAGCTCCTACTAACATTAATCATGGTTGCACCACTGAATTAAGGAAACAAACCAAATTGTCTAGTAAAGATATTGTGGATTACAAAAGGTGATATCATTTTTATTTTCAGGTTTTATTTTTTATCAAAAACATGTCTGTTCACTCATTATATGTGAACATTGATTGTCAACAATCAGTTACTTTCAGGATTCCATCAGTGATCTTGAACCCAGGCACCATCTTTGAGTAGCAATTCTGAACTAGTACAATTTTAGTTTTTCTAAAACTTATGCCCTCTCCGTCTTACCATGCTCATTCCATCATTCCCTCCCCTCAACACTATACTTTTTTTTTTTTTTTGGTTGCCTGATGCACTGTGACCTTAGTAGGCCTATTGTACACCATGTTATGCTATTTCATATTAAAACATTAATTTGGTAGCTGCCAAGAATCTTGATAGGCTTATATGGTTAACAACTCATAGCCTTTGGGATCCACCAATTGATCCTAACCAAACTGCTTGGACCCAATCCTGGCTAACCTGTCATACTGAATGATAATGTGACTGTCTCATTCTCTTCATGACAATCTCAGTCATTATGGGATTGAACATATGATAATTTAGCTTACAGTGACCCATATAGATTGCTGTAAGCTTCTTAAGAGCTGCTCTATCAAAGTTTAGTAGTAGCTTGTTCCTTCTGCCGCAATCCTCTTCAAGGAATAGCTTTGAGTGGTGTTGTACCTTGTCGAGCCAGTACTGTTTTAATTTAGCGCCATATGTTTCTCCGAATCTTCTTTTGGCATAGTTCAAGTTTATACCACTACTAGAGTTCAGGGATAGGAGTGGTCTCTGAGCTCATCTTGGCTAGTTTGTCTTTTCACTGCCTGGAACAGCCGAGTGACCCAATTTCCTTTCAATGGTAACATCCTATGCACTTAAATTTATATATTATCATTTTCATTTGTATGCATAATAAAGTGTTTTTTTCTTCCTTTTTTTTAAATTTTTGGTTGAACAAAAACAGAAAAAAAAATTACTCTCCTTAATGGCATCCCATCAATGGCATGGAGAGGAATTCTGTTTCTCTATATGGCTTTTTGACTTCCTTAATGATAAGCATGTAATTCATTACAAACAATAGTTATTCACTTACTTCGTTTAAAAATTAAACTTCATACATTTAAAGATACCGTTGGTGAACCTAAGATTCAGTCTTACTTAACTTATGGGTGAAGTTGAATAATTATTGCAGTTGTTTTTATTTTGATTTCATTACATTTTTTAATAATAAAGAATTCGTAATTTGTCATTATGGTTTATTGAGTTTATTATATATATAATTATTTTTTCTTCAAATTATAATCATACCTATATATTTCAGAGGGACCAGTCTCTGCTATGGGAAGATCTATAGTGATACTAAATAAAGATTTTGGAGGAGATAAATTTGCTTGTGGCAATATTGAGCCTGACTTTGATACAGTAAAATATGTCAATGTTCGCAGACCACCGAAATTTGTGGTGTATGTATATTTTATCTATTTATATTTAAAATTAAATCATATTCGTATGATAGAGAATTTAGTTAAGATAAATAAATATATTTATTTTTATCTTAATATTTCTATAGTTGAAAGAATAAAGTTCTAAATTACTTTAATGTAAAAGAAAGAGATCAGTGAATAAAGAGACCAATAGAATTGAAAATAACATAAAGAACATGCATATTTGTTTAAATAGATGGAGAGTTATTTTTAGAGATGAAAAAAAGCTGGTAGCCATACTCAATAAGTTTAAAAAACAGTTATAGTTCAACCACAAGATAATGGCAGAGGGGAAGGAAAGCAGCGCTAAGATCAGGATATTTTTGTTTTTATTTCCCAGTAAATTTGAAAATTTGTTAGGAAAAATTTAAATGAAAAAAAAATAAATAAATAAATGGAAATTCATAAATTTGTTTTAGTTAATCTATCAAGAGATGATAAAGGGGGATTATTTTCAACTTTTTTCCTTATAAATTAGCATCTGATCTGCCATGTTCTTGTGGAAAACGTATTGTAGTTATTTTTAGAATAAATAAATTGCCTTAATTAACACACTAGAACACTTAACATGGAAGGAATTTCTCCTAAAAGGACATTAAATTTAAATTAGAATATTAAAAAACAGTTTGGATTCACCAAATGTTTTCTCAATGGTTATTATGATAAAATAAATATAAAGAAAGATATACTTAACCAGCTTTATAACAATGTCAAAATGGTTTTTGGTCTCATGATTATCTGAAGTTCTATTATATTTTTATTACAGAAATTCCCAAGAAATTAAAAAAATCAGCAAGTTTGTGCTTGTCTAAAACATTTTATTGATATATTTTATTCCATTCCAACAGTTTTGTAATTCTTTCAGGTTTAAAATATTAAAAATTCTACTTTTATCATTTAGAATTACTTACTTATTAAAACACTTTATTCAGAAATATTACAATTTGTCACAGTTAAGGACACTTATAATAGAGTTCAGAGATTGCATTCATACCGTATATACAAAAATATAAATAAATAAAGTAATAACAAAAGAATAAGAAGAAAGAACAAAAGAGTAAAGAAAAAGAAAATATATATATATACACATAAGTAAATAAAAATAGAAATGAAAGTAAAACAAACACCTTATATAAAACATACATTATTTACAATTTGCCAGGTGATCTCCGAACCAATCCTGTCCCCTCCACATGTGGAGGGAAAAGGGAGGCTTAGGAGATCCCTACGCTTCTCCCTCAGCCACTTCACTGGTATTGATTTAGAATTAATATGTCACAGACAACTCTTACGGTAAAACATTTATCTAAGTGCTTAAATTCCAGCTCATGGTTGTGAAAGTGATCTGAAATTTTGAAGCAAACATACAGAAGCTATAAAAATGAATACAACTTCATTCATGGATTGTGGTAAAAAATCAGATCTGAAAATAAATATAGAGAGTTGAAAGAAACTTCATGATTTTGGTGAAATATAATCGATAATACATGTGAAAAGGTTGAGAATTTAACGTACGAGGGGTCTATAATATCTGAATGGACAAACAATACTGTACTGTGTTCATGTCCATATTAAAGATAATTGAAGTAATAGCTTCACAAAAATTGGTGTTCATATATGATGTGATAAAATTAAAATCTGACTCAATCAACTCTTTTATTCTATTTTTCATGAGTTTTTAGTTCACTAAGTCGCCTAGCAAGTTCCTGTTGATAAAAAGACTTTCAAACATGTAAACAATGATGTGTTCCAACTACTGGGGTTATCTAGGTCAAATTAGACACAATCATTTGTTTTTTGTGTCTCATGTCAAGTTTTTGACAATGGTTTTGAAACTAAATCGCTGATATGTTGAACTTGATTTGGAATGAGTCACTACATTCAATTGAAGAATATATTTAAGGACAGGGGATAGTGTTTATTGAACCTCTAGTTTTACTGAGTTTTATTCATTCATTCATTCATTCATCCTCAGCGCTATAGTCCGCGTGGGACCTTGGCCTTCTCAACAATACGTCGCCACTCATCTCAGTCCAATGCTACAGCCCTCCACCGCCTGACACCAAGCTATCTCAAATCCATCTCAACATCCTCCAGCCAACGGAGTGGTGGCCTTCCTCTCCTTCTAGTTCCTCCATGTCGCTCATATAATATTTTCCTTGGCACTCGGTCCACTGCCATCCTTTCCACATGCCCTAATCATCTTATTCATGCTGCCTTAATGACACTAACGAGATCTGTGTCCCTGTAGAGTTGTCGCAACTCCCGATTGTATCGGGACCTCCACACTCCTTCTTCGCATACCTTACGCTTCTCCTTCTAAGAATCTTACGCTCGCACACTCCAAGAGCCCTCTCATGTTTTGCTGAGATAAACCACCTCTCGCTTCCGTATGTGACTATCGGACGAATCATTGTTTTATAGATTGTCAATCTGGCATTCCTTGATAATCTTCGAAATGTGAGTTGTGACTATATGGCAAAAAAAAATGAATTTTATTACAGTAATTTTATGAATGTGACCCTCTATTAATTATATTTCATTCAATACATTTTCAATAAAAATGAAGTCTTGAATAAAAAATTGGAAAAAATGACTGTGGTAACAATAAAATGTATAATAGTTAACATAATTTTCAGCTCTCAGTTCCTTGAAGATGTTAGAAGAGTAATGGGAATTCCAGAATGGTTCCTGACCATTGACAGCAGAAAAACGAATGTTTTGTACAATGGTGCCTGTATACAGTTGTTAATACATTTTAAAGGTAATCTATAATCAAGTTTTTATTTTGACTTATACAATAATAATTAATTTAATTTAATGAATCAACAATTATGGTAGTTTAGTGGAGGAATCCTGCATGACTAAATTAAAACATTCATAGCTCCTAATCAATAATGCAATTACCTGCAACTTCTTTTCTTTCTTCCTTAATTAAACTTATATGGTGTTATAATAGAGGTGGGGGATTTTTTTTTTCTTATATATATAAAATTTCGTCTTTGCCCAAT